TCTAGCTCCGGCCTCCACACACACACACAGGTCTAGCTCCGGCCTCCACACACACAGAGCTCTAGCTCCGGCCTCCACACACACAGAGCTCTAGCTCTGGCCTCCACACACACACACAGGTCTAGCTCCGGCCTCCACACACACACACAGGTCTAGCTCCGGCCTCCACACACACACACAGGTCTAGCTCCGGCCTCCACACACACACACAGGTCTAGCTCCGGCCTCCACACACACACACAGGTCTAGCTCCGGCCTCCACACACACAGAGCTCTAGCTCTGGCCTCCACACAGGTACATACTGAGGTCGCAGGGCCGTGCGCCCCCCGTTGATGATTGAAGCTTTCTGCCCACAGTTGGGGTGGAAGAGCAGCTGCCCCGGATCCGGTGTGTTGGAGCTCTGGCGCCCGGCATCAGGTGATCGCGCCCGCAGGATGGCGTTATTCCTCCGCAGCCGGTCAGCGTGGTTGTGATTATGGACGATGGTGACTTTCACAGCCATACCATAGAGATCCACAACGCCATACACCACGGGAGGAGTCTGACAGGAGGCCACGCCTACAGGACAAACACAACCGTGAGGGGGAGGAGTCTGACAGGAGGCCACGCCTACAGGACAAACACAACCGTGAGGGGGAGGAGTCTGACAGGAGGCCACGCCTACAGGCCAAAGACAATCATGAGAGGGAGGAGTCTGACAGTGTAGAGATAACTCCTCCTCCATTACAATATACAGAGCCCCCCCCCCACTCCACGACAATTAATGGCTGTATACACAGAACCCCTCCCCCTTCTCTATGAGAGCATACAGAGAGGCGGAGCTTCTCACCTTGGTCCATGCCATTGATGTAGAAATGGAGAGCTCCGCTGGATTTCCGGGTGAGTCCGATGTGGTCGCCCTCCTGGAAACAAGAAAGCCATTAATGATGGACACAGGACAAAGTCACCCCTCCCCCCTCCTAATACCAGGGGTCAGAGGTCACCCCTCCTAATACCAGGGGTCAGAGGTCACCCCTCCTCACTCCTAATACCAGGGGGTCAGAGGTCACCCCTCCTAATACCAGGGGTCAGAGGTCACCCCTCCTCCCTCCAGTGATCAGAAGATCACAGGACAATATTGGTGGGGTCCTTCTCGGTATCGGATGACTCTGGATCGGGGGGACACATATAATCGGGGGACCCAAAAGAAGGTTCCGTTTTCCTTCTAGTCCGGCCCGGCATCCCATCCCCCCATGGATTGCAAGCTCTTGGGACAAGCAGCAGACAGCACAATATCACCTCCTGGAACTAAAGTCCGGAACCCAGATCTAAGTATTCCGGGGCCCCTCCCCTGGCAGCGCTCCGGTTCTCTCATTACCGTCAGTACACAGACCTGCAGCTCATCCAGGCTGAACTCGCAGTACTCCCTCCGAGTCCCCTTCCCATTGGTCAGGATCCCGCAGCCGCTCATCATGATGGTTCCTGTCAGGAGAAAACCAATGGACACATAGACATGAGATGCGGGACCCCCGGGGGGGACCCAGGGAAATGCGGGGGAGGGGTAACAGGAGAACGGCCCCGGAGGACAACAGGAGGGGACCCAGGGAAATGTGGGGGAGGGGTAACAGGAGAACGGCCCCGGAGGACAACAGGAGGGGACCCAGGGAAATGTGGGGGAGGGGTAACAGGAGAACGGCCCCGGAGGACAACAGGAGGGGACCCAGGGAAATGTGGGGGAGGGGTAACAGGAGAACGGCCCCGGAGGACAACAGGAGGGGACCCAGGGAAATGTGGGGGAGGGGTAACAGGAGAACGGCCCCGGAGGACAACAGGAGGGGACCCAGGGAAATGTGGGGGAGGGGTAACAGGAGAACGGCCCCGGAGGACAACAGGAGGGGACCCAGGGAAATGTGGGGGAGGGGTAACAGGAGAACGGCCCCGGAGGACAACAGGAGGGGACCCAGGGAAATGTGGGGGAGGGGTAACAGGAGAACGGCCCCGGAGGACAACAGGAGGGGACCCAGGGAAATGTGGGGGAGGGGTAACAGGAGAACGGCCCCGGAGGACAACAGGAGGCGGTCACACATTAGATGGGAGCAGAGGGTGGGGTGGGAGAGAGGAGGTGCCATCCATTCAGGGAGGAGTCAGAAGAGCATGGTCATTCAGAATGGGAGTGGTCAGGGGATGACATCCATCTCCAGCACAGGAAGAGGAGGAGTCAGGAAAGAAGAACCTCCTACCTGATCTCAGGTTGGTCATGGTGGCAGGATATTCCAGGCTGTTGGGATTGTGGGTGGTGACCCCGATTTCGATGGACCCCGACCATTTATCCACCAGCTTATCGATGCGGATCTGTAGACGGGAGAGGACACTGAACCACGGATCACCGGGGCAACCAGAGAAATGACCAGAACCACCCTCACCTCAAACATCTCCCCGTCCTTCAGCGGCCGATTGGTCATCACCACACCGTTGTTGAACTCGTCCAGAGGCCGCCTCCTCTCTGCCGTCTTGTTACCATTGCTGAGCTTGATGAGAGTACCGCACTTCTCATGGAAGAGCAGAGCGTCATTGGAAGTGGGAGGAGACTGATCAGACGAGGGCGGAGGAGAGCCCAGATTGACGCTAAGGAGACTCCCATGATACGCTGACAAGATGGCGTTACTGACCACAGCCGGCAGCTCGGTGCCGGGAAACTCTGGAGGACACAGGAAGCCGAAACAGTATGAGAAGTCCGACTGACACAGATCGACCCCTGACCCCTACCGCGGTGCACCCATCCCTTCCTACACCATCCACCGCGCTGCACCCATCCCTTCCTACACCATCCACCGCGGTGCACCCATCCCTTCCTACACCATCCACCGCGGTGCACCCATCCCTTCCTACACCATCC